AGGCACAAGAGATAGAGATACACTAAATACTTTAATGACTTCTCCTACACTTCCCAGCCCAGTAAAAAAGCACCTTTGAAGTTCCTGTGCCTCTCAGGCCAGAGGCTCCATTACTCAATCATCGGCTGCAGATAAGATGATACATCAGCGAGCACCTTTTACAAATGAACTCTGCATCTCCTCCTGCCTTCCTAGAGGAAAGTACTACAGCTTGGGCACTTCCTAATCTTGTGGGGCTGCTGCCGGCACGTCCTGGTACAGCTGCAGAGAGCAATCCTGCTACTCCTGATGCAGAAATCACCCTGGCTTCTGCCAGTATTCCCAGCACAACAGGAAAGCTTCCTGTGCCTCCTTCCGAGGCGCTCAGCCACGGCCAGACAGCCTGGTCCCGAGGGCATTGTCACAGGCACCTCTGTCTGCATCTGACAGGCAGCAGCCTGGTTTCCAGCTTAGCCCACTGACTGTTGTATAATAAAACACAAGAAAGGCACACCCCCCCCTTTTTGCGTCAGCTAGAAATCTTTACACATTATTCTTTCCAAATGGGCATGGGGAGGACTTGCATCCCAGGAACACATTTCTTAGAGGAAGGGGCAGAAGCCCTCATGCACCTCTGTGTAGCATAGAGGAACTTAAGTAACTGATTATCTTGTGATTGTTTTACAGTGGAGAAGTTTGAAGATCTCAGAGTGCCTGGCTGCCGAGCATTACCATCATCTCAGCAGTATGTTTTATCTGAGCATTTGTACCGTGGCTCTGCACCAGCCTAATCCAGAGCTAACCATGGTGTGCAGGGAGCTGCCATAATCCATTTCGGCCTATCAGCCTCGAGCAAACATCAACTCAGGACTATCCCAGTGCTTTCAGAGATGCTAATTCAAGAGTCACGAGATCGGGCTCCCATGCCCCAATTTTCCAGAGGCTTCCCACAGGACAGCCCTGTGCTTTAGTTCCTATGAGCTAAGTTAAAAGCAATAGCATTTTCCTCCGTCAGCTTTCCAGCCACAAAGGAGCTGAAATAGTAAACACATGAAGAGGGTGAGGAACCCAGAGGCTGCGGCAGTGGTGGCCATCATCTCGTACAGAGAACTGAAAGGGTCTTCCATTGCTGGGGCTCTGCTGGCTGGGTCAGTACCAGCTGAGAAGCTGGCTGTTGTTCGGCAAAATATGATCTAAACCATATGGTACAGCAAGGAGATGGTGATGGAAATCTTTATAGAAAACACTTCACAAAATGTAAACAACAGATTCTTTACACAGAGATAAAGATGGAGATTAATGCTTGAATTATCCTGGATAATTAGTGTAGCAGGTAATTATTTAAAATCTGGCACATCTGTGAATAAATCACTTTGACTGAATTAGAAAATCCTCACAACTGCTACACTAAGATGGCTCCAGCAATCCCACAGGGAAATCTTTATGGGAGATTAATTCTCACTTCAAATGGCAGAGATTTGCAAGAGGATTATGTGGCCAGTGCGAAATGTTCGCATTGTGACTGTGATACAGGTTTTTTTTCTCACAGAGAAGCCGAGTGCTGGTTTCTTTGAGTTCCTGTGTTCTTTGAGCTTGAGGGCTCAGCCCTCTTAAGAAGTAGAGTGTTTTATAGCTGAAACGATGAGCAGTGCTTGAAAGAAAATGGTGACAAGAACAAGGGTAAGAGCAACAGAAGCTCAAAGAAATGACAGTGAAATCCAAACTTGGATTTAAATTCCTAAAGCAACAAGGTCACACTTGCAAAGCTAGTGGATCTGTTTCTTTAGCTTATTATAAAAGTTACCAAAGAGTTGTCACATCTAAGAACAACCAAAGACCTGAAGCATGTCTAGTGGTCCACTGGGCCAATGCAGTGACTGATGGACTGGCTGTAACTACCAAGTGCTTCAGGTTTGAATTGGGTATCGAATGATTGCTGAAGCATTGTACTCTTGGTACTCAGCACAGGGAGGAGAGTTAGGAAAGCTGTAGTTCTGTGCGCAGATTTCACTGCTTACAGCACTAAAGAGAGCTCTAACCAAGAAAATGGTGGTTTCCTGGCACACAAAGACATTCTCAGGAAAATTGAAATGTCTCTTTGCTATATATTTCCAACAGAAAACTGCTGCCAGGAGCTCTCATCTGATTTGCTCAGGTTCTCAAAACATCAAGGTGAATAATTGAGACAGGCTCAGTTTGTAAACCCTGGGGAATTCACAACAGCAGCAAAAAGAAGGAAAGAAAAGCTACTCTGAGCTTTGTACAGAGGGTCTGCCTTTTAAGAGAGGTTACATTGCACTTGTTGACTGAGACTGCACAGGAAGAAATACAGGTGGGGCTGCAGCCAGCATCCCCCAGCCTCACCCACTGACATGTGCAGATCAACAGGGATTTGTTCAGACCAACCACAAAACTTGCCAATGAAAAACTCCTGCTAAGTTTCACAGCACTGTCCTGCACCTGCATCCAGCCCCTAGTCAAGCCCATTTAGTGCCCTGAAGCTATTTTTAAGTGAAAGAACAAAAAGAAAACACTCTGTGCAGAAAAACTTTACCCCTTTTCTTCCTTCCTTTCCCAGAAATTAATTTGCAATCCCTAAAGTACAGCTTTTCCCTATCCTCCTCTACAAACAGCATCCAACATCTACTACTAAATTACCTCTACCCAGGACATGCCCTTTTTGTAACGTGCTGAAGGACATTGCTGCCAAGCCACCACACCTGATCCCACCCATGACACTGGACCTCTGATGGACCTTTGTAGAAGGGAAGGGTGGATTTATAACCTTCTCCAAACTACCTTCTCCCTTCTGACTCCTCAGTAGTACATTTACACCTACTTCTGTATTGACAAAGAACTTAAAACATACATGTCTCTATCCAAAATAAGTTTTTGCACTCTCCTTCCACTCCTGCCTTACCCTAACCTCTCCAGCTGCCCCAGATAGTGCTATCAGTGTTGCCAGGTGGTTGTAGTTCCTGCACACCCTGAGAAGGGCTTACTCACAGCAGGGCTAAGTAACTTAGTGCTGGGCTCATGCAGCCATTCCTCTACAAAAGGCTTCAAGTGCTTGAACCAGCAACGTGCCTCTTGTCTGCAGCCTTTGCAGATGCAGCTGCTGTTGGGTTTTCCCTGGTAGTACGCATGTCCACTGTAGAGCACAGAAACCTGCGGGGGGGAAAAAGGAGGACTTTTTTTTTCTTTGTTTGGTGGCAATTATTTCTACTGTTGTAAACTGCATTTTTTACTACATGGAACCTCATTTCTACTAGCATCAGCTTCTAATGCTTCATGGTGATGCTGAAATTTCCTAGCTTACAGGGTCTGATAATGTCTGAGGCAAAAAGGGGCATGGCAGGCTGCTTCTCTAAGTCTACCTACAGCTTGAAAACAGCCCTTTCAGCAAGCTGGCAGGGGACAGTAGTATTCTGGGCTGATTCAGACCATCTGCAGACATTAACACGCTCCTGGGCCACCGAGGCAGTGGTTTGAAATTGAGAGCTGCGCATCATTTGAATACGCTACTAAAATGGAGTTCACCTGCACCTCACTGTCAAAACGTGAGCATATTTTACCTGTGTCAGAGCACTGGAGTGTAGCCAGAAAGCCACTGTAGTAATTCTTTGGGCGTGATGTTCAGCTGTATTTTATTAAACTCCCCATCCTGTGCTTCACTGCTCGGTTCTGAGAGCTGCAGCCCAGCATCCCTTGCTCAAGAGGGCTGCTTGTGCCAACCTGGTTGAAATCACAGAAACTTAAAAACCCACATTGTTCTTTTCTCCTACTTTGTGGTGTTACTTAAGCCTAGGTCATCACGACTCTGGTTTAATCTCATGTCCGATACTGTTAATGTAAATGCTGAACAGCTAAAATGTCATAACCATTAGCTTTGCACTATATTGTGCTCTGGTTTAATCTCATGTCAGATACCGTTAATGTAAATGCTGAACAGCTAACATGTCATAACCATTAGCTTTGCACTATATTGTGCAACGATAACTATACAAATTCACCATTTTAATTCAGTGTACTATTGTAAGCTTTGTTCAGCACCGCTTGGCTTGAAGGCTTCAAACTATTTCCTTCCTTTTCTGTCTGTCAGAATTTCTGCAGAACACAAAAACCAGTGGCATTTGTTAACCTTAAAACTAGCACGAAACAGCATGAAATCCATGTGGAATAGCTGCGGTATCTCTAAATCCAGGTTGCAGGTCGCTGTCTCTGCCCTGATGTTGAAGGGAATATGCAGTTTGCTCCTGGGCAGAATGATCTGTTGGATAGATTGCAAATAGCTTGATTTGGGGCTCACCGTTGTGCAGTCTGTAAGGTCGGTGTCTTGCATAGCCTCAGTATTCCCTTCCTGGTGACTGTACGGACCATGTGCCTGTCTGTGCAGCTGTGAAATGGTACTAATAACTTTCCACCTTTATTTTGTTGGGATGAAAAACACTAAGGCACAGCAAGCTAACATGGTGATCCCATTTTGTGTAGGGATAATGCAGAGGCAAGATTTAAAATATGGCACGCATAAAATGTGTCACTTCCTCATAAGAGCTGAATTAATGGATGTTACAAAAAACCAAACTAATAAAAAAACACTATGAAAGATTTCTTTCCAGGGAAGAATGTGAGAATTCATTGGATTTGCACATGAGAATCAATGGTTTGTGAGAATAAAAGGGCTAGCACAAAGCAAAATAAGAAATGTGTTTTCTTGCTTCTTGTATCGGTGAATTAATAAGCATGACCTCTAAAGGACAAAGCTGGTCTTTAGCACGTGAAATTCTTTTTGCTGAATATTGCTATCATCTCTCTTCTCAGTGGTTGGTATTTTTACACTCTAGCTATATTTCACACTGATTTTTAAGTACCCTCCCAGCGAGGGAGATAGAAGAAGCGATACTGCTTTGCCTGCAGCTGGAGAAATCCTTTATAGCTGACATGTCACCTCCTCAGCCGTGGGCATTTGCTCCAGGAAAGCCTGCCTGAAGCTGTTGATAGTCTCTCTCCTTCTCTCACAGGACCATGCAGATATTGAGTGGAAATTTGCACGGACAAAGCTCTGGATGAGTTACTTTGATGAAGGTGCCACTTTGCCGCCTCCTTTTAACATTGTCCCAAGTCCCAAGTCAGTCTGGTACCTTTGCAAGTGGATTCACAATCAGCTGTGCCCAGGCAACGACTCTGACAACGAACAGAAGAGGCATGAAAACCTCAAAACATTCACTGTAAGGAGCTGCACAGTTTTATACTTCATTTTTCGAGGGTGTTTGTGCATGTTCAGGATTGTGAGGGCCACTGCTCTGCTGGTGCAATGGAAAGTTGCTGGATCGTGACTTGCTAAGAGCCATCAGGAGCTCTAAAGACAGGACTAAACTGGTAACGTATCTGTGCCTTTCTCTTTCCAGGAACGGCACGCTGACAACCTGATTCAGAATCAACATTACCAGGTAAGCTCTTGAGCATATAAAGTTTTTACTTGCTGTTTCTTCTTCCTGCTCATTTTCTAATACCGCGATTCTTGCTTGCTTCTAGAATATATTTTGGTAAGCGTAGGTCCTCTAAGAGGATTTTGCTTATCACAGATTACAACATTTCCTCATTAGAGGTGGGATGGTTCAGTAAATCACTCCCAGATTTTGCCACCTGTGAAGTAGTGGAAGACTTGGCAGGTATCAGTTTGGTTGCTGAAGTCAAAGGTGACATCGCCATTGCCATCAGAGGGATTGATGGCTGTCACACCACCCTGATTAAAACTGTTTCTGCAGCATTTTTACACACTCTTGAACTGTTCCTCTCCTGCTCTTTTTTGTAAAGCGTCCCTAACTGAAACAGTGGTTAGGATTGCCTTTTGTTTTGGACAGCTCAGGAAGGAGGAATGGTTCCTTTGATAATTTTGCTGGTTTTGTTTATTCTCAGCCTGCCTGTCATCAAGTACTCATTAAAGTCAACCTACAAACGGATGAAACTGTACTAAAAACACCAGCTTCAGTCCTTGAATTCAGTGTGATGTATTATGCCAGTGTGCTGGAAGGAAAACAATTCTCCAGAATGTTAGGTGGTACGTTAGGCTACACTGTCAAATGCCACTTGTAATTTGTCTTACTTAAGATATCTCCTGCTTTTTGAAGAGTATTTTTATCTGAAGTTGATATTTAACATAGTTAGTCACCTTTGACAACAGACATTCGGTACTTTCTGACTTCACAGCACAGCTTACGTGTACCAACAGTGGGATCTTATAAAGCCTCCCAGTAAAACCTTGGTGCAGAGACCGTCTTCGTGCTTGGTGTTGCTCAGACTCATTATCCCTGTTTATGAAATGGGGGAAACGAAGGGAAGGTTTGGAGTAGTCAGATAAATGTACAAGCTCGAAGTACCAGTTTGCTTACGTAAAGCCAGCAGGGAGGCACGGGAACACAGAGCAAACTGGATCTCATCCTACCAAAAGTCTGTACTGGAGCAGCCCAGGTAATGCAGAGGAGCACGAGCCCTTAGAGAAGTCATGGAGGGTGTGATTCAGCCCTCTGCCCTGTCCACAGACACTGCAGCAGCCTTGAAAGGAGTTTCTAACCCGCCATCAGGGAACGCCTAGGCTGGCAGATGCAGTTTAACCAGAATGTGCATTGGCCCGTGGGGTCCTGGCTGTTCTGGTGATTTCTTGTCAGCATACCCTCCCTGACTTTCCAATGCTTCATAAACAATCTTCAGATGGCAAGCTTGGTCCCTCAGGATACACAGCATATACAGTCTTAAAAACTTTCAGCAGCTGAGATTAAATGGCTTGAGGACATTTAAGAACATCAAGAATTTTTTCTCAATGACTTTTACATACACAGAACAAGTACAAAATACCTGCTCGCTGTAGCTAACAACTGAACATTCAAGACAGAGGTGTATATAACCCTTTCCAAAGGTTTGTTCTGTTTAAAAGAAAGTGTTCTGTTTCTGATGGCAGTGATTTTCCTTAGAGAGCCACTGTCGGTAAGAACTCAGTGAAATGTGGTAAGAACAGAGTTTGGCCTGAGCCAGCAGTTGAATCACTCGTATTGTTTCCTATTCCAGGAAGTGATAAGAAATCTTGTGAAAAGATATGTTGCAGCAATGATAAGAACTTCCAAAACCAATGAAGGTTTAACTGAAGAAAATTTCAAGGTAATTTATTATTCCTTAATAATAATATATTATATTAATTCAAGTAGCCACTTGCAGAGTTCACACTAACTTGTTAAGATGATTTGTAACCTGCTGAGAAATAAGACTATTACTGGAGCTGGGAATAGATATGATGTGCATGTGGCGGTTTTTTGGTCAAGAGGGCTGGTCCCACAGCCTTTGGAGACCTTCTGAGGTCTATAATTCTCAGGATTAACAAAATTTTCTTTTTGTGTGTCACTGAATAATGACGATATAGGTGGTATTCTTGCAAGTGTGATTTGGTATCAGCTATTTGCATAACTCTGAACAGCTCTCCCAAGGGAGCATGATCATTCTTTCATGTCACAGATAAAGATGCCAAGCATAACTCCTTTCTCCTCTTGCCCTAGGAATTAAAACAGGACATCTCAAGTTTTCGCTATGAAGTTCTTGACCTCTTAGGAAACAGAAAGCCCCAGAGGAGAAGTTATTCTACCAGCAGCACAGAGGTGTCCCAAAAGGATGAAACAAATGAGGATGGTGCTGGAGAAAAATCCAAAGCCAAGAGCGTGTCTTTCAATGTAGCCAACAAAAAAAAGGACTTCAATGTATCTGCTCTAATTAAAACTATGTCTGGGATCGATATGGTGGAAGAGAAGCCAAAAAGCAATGGGATCAGTAAGCGCTCCTTTGTCCGAAATGGAAACCGAGTTCAGAGACTTTCCAGCTCCAAGAAGGAGTCCTTTAAGAGACTGGGCCTGCTTTTTTCCAAGATGAACGGACATGTACCTGAACCAAATTCAGAACCCATGTACACTATTTCAGATGGGATTATTCAGCCACACTACATGTGGAAAGACATTAAATATTCTCAGATTGATAAAGAGAGAGAAGAGAATTGTTCCAAAAGTGAAATTAACCTCAATGAGGTGGACTACAGTGGGAACACAAGACTTACAGGACAGAGCAAGGAGTGCCCTGTGGTTTGTACCAGCTCCCTTCACTGTGCTTCCAGTATTTGTTCCTCTAATTCCAAACTTATAGACTCAACAGAGGATGTGTTTGATTCTTGGGGAGAGGCTTGTGACTTGTTTATAAATCAGTGGAAAGATGGGCAGGAGGATCACATTACAACTCGGCTATAAGTAAAGCTATCGTAACACTCACTGGAAAACTTAGCCAATTATTTGTAATTATTTGCTCTCATCTGATTCAGCATTACTCTTTCCTTTCTGTCCACAGGTTAAAAAAAGAAGTGTAAAACTACTTATGTTAGCCTATTTATAGCCATCTGTACCTTTTATAATTTTTTTTTTACACTCTCAAATGCTAAACTAAAGGTTTCACCATTTATAAGATCACTATAAACCACAGGAATCCCTTCGGATGCAGTCTTAGTCTTCAAACCCCCCAGACTTCAGACACGAGTAAAGGATTTCTCCTGTGCTCTCACCACCATTGTCCCACCGCCGCTGGGTTATCACTGCTGCTATCCAACAGGATTGGCTCTGCGTCCTGCTCAATCTTCCTCATCAACACAACCAGCGGGTGAGCAGTGGCTTAGCAGGAGGCTGAGAATCATATTTAAAATCTTTTTAGAAAGGGTTTCAACTTGTAACTGGCTTTTTGTTTTCTTTAAGCAATACAACCTCTGATTCTTTTGGTTTTCTGTGTTTTTTCAGGTTGTTTAATATAATAATATTGTAAATTGTTACTGAGCAAGAGACCCCTTTGATCATCCAGCTCAAACATGTTATGATTTGGTTATTTACCTAATTCCTATAAGAAATTCCCCCGTAGGGAGCAGAATGACCTTCCCGTTAGGCTGCCAGCACCTTGCTACCGACTTTTGCGTGGATGAACTGACCTAAAACCAGCTGTGGCTGCTTGGAACCCAAACCTAAGTGTGGTTCTCATTTCTGATGGGCTAACCCCAAACCCTGAGCCTTGCCCTTACACCCTACCTCTTGAGCTGTACCTGGTTTTTGAAATTCCTAATTTTACTTCCACTACTGCATTTGCTTTTTGCTGCCTCTCTGATGGATGTCAGGCTCTAGGAAGAAAACCATCCTCCTGGTGTAGGGCAAGCACAAAGAGAGATAGTCTTCCCTGGGCCTGGGAGCTGCATTTCTGAAAAGCAGCCTAAGCAACAGCAGCTCAAACTGCATCTGGCAGCCTGGAAAGTCTCTGCAGTTCATTTTCTAAGGCACAACAAAAAGGAGAGCAGCAGTAGATGTTAGCTTTTATTTCTCCAGGTGTGGTAGTGTCTGGACAGGGCCTAGCACCATCAGGGGTCTTGTCCTAAGGAGCATCAGAGAGGGGAGAAGACAACCCCATCAAGAGCAAAATGGTTATAATTTTTAAGTGTTTTTTTTTTTTTAAACAATGTGATACTTGAACTTTCTTCTGCAGTCTTGCTAAGAAACAGAGATGACTGGCACTTCCTTACCACCACTTCAGAGCTGTCATTAGTCGGCTGCTCTCTTGGAAGAAGCAACTCCTGACCAGGAGCTCAGAAATGGCCTTCCCGTGACAGAGCTTCGTTACTGCACTGCTGCAGTTGTGCTTAAGGCTCTGTTCCCAGGAGAGGTGATGTGAGCTGGAGCATATCCCAAGGGCAGTTGCCAAAACTGTGAACTGGGTTGCGAAGTGCATTTGTAAAAGCATAACGCTGCAAAATCTACACCTACACCTGGTCAGATTTTACCAGCAAGGGACAGGAACAGTTCCCATGGCAGGACAGAGGGATTTCTCACTGCAGCAGTCCCCATGGAAGAGATGCTGGAACGCCCACAGCTGGATACTCTTCCTGAGTTTTAAACCTGGCTCCCTCCTCTCATTAAGGAAAACCACGTCACTGGGTTTTCCCTCTGGGCACCTATGCAGCATTACCTAAAGGTCAGGGTGGAGCACACCCACATCAGAGATCATTGTGCAGGATGCAGCCAGCTCCTGTAGCAGAACTGAGATGCCAACACACTGGACACATGGGAAGTTTTCAATACAGAGCTCAAGGTGGGGACCATGGCTCAAGGCCAGCTCTGAAGTTAAGTCAGCAACTCTGAGCAAAGACTCAAAAGTGTTTCTGTATTCCTTGCTTATAAGTGACACCAGTCTTGTTACCAGCATGCAGTATAAAGCCCAAAATATTTAAGCCTTTAGATGGGTTAGTTAAGGCAGACTGAAAAGCATTTTTATATCAACAGATTTCAGGCTTTCATACTAATTGCAGGGTTAGAGTTGTCTTTGAAAACTGCATCTCATCTTCCTTTACAAAAGGCTGAGCAAACTGACGTTGGCACTACACAAGGAGACTTGCAAAATCCGCAGGTCGGAAGCAGCTTGCTGATCATTGCTGAAGAAATCCAGTGCCCCTGTCCTTTAAGAGGCAAATCCATCGATAAGCGAGAGGTACAGTCAGAACCAACTGAAAATAATTCTCAAAGCAGCTCCCAATAAAAGCCCTACAGTTTAATAAACCATACAGAGGACCATTTCTGGAAAGATGAATGTTAGCAAGAGCTGCCATAGGGGGATGAAGGAAAGGGTTTGAATCATTTTATGTCTGACCTAACCACAGCACAGTTCATGAACTCTACCTGATGTGGGGCCAGCAAATCTTTAGAGTATTTCCTGTGTAACAAGAAAGAATGAAAACAATTCAAGTATGGTTTATGTAGATTACGTCAACTGAGTTTGAGGCTGGGACAGAAGCAGGGTTCATATCCTTGGACAGGAGAAAGGCTTTTAAGTTTTCCATGAGAGCAAGCACACTGCTACTGGTGATTATGTTGTGTCATCAGATGCAGCACTGCATTAACAGGTACAAAGGAGAAATTAAACTCAACTCCACAGTGGTGCCCCCCCAAAATGTAAAAGTGACACTGGGCAGCGCAAACCCCTTCTCTGCAAACTGTGTGAGTCACGTTGTTCCCCTGCTGCAGCCTGAAAGGGCAGGGGGAGGAACCGCCACACTGGAACGGCAGCCTACAAAATCTCTCAATAATGTTATGTTGAAGGCGAGAGGTATGTCACGTGGCTGCTTGGCTGGGGCTCCCCTGGGATTTGTTTCATGACTCAGATACTTCCTAGCTCCCGGCTATGAGCGAGTTTGAGCTGACTTTGGAATTTAAAACAAATACTTGATTTGGCTGTGATTTATAGCTGTGTCCAGGAGTTTGCAAAAAACTGTCAAATTGGTCCCCCAAAAGACAAAATTCTGTTTGATTGTATCTATGCATCCCCTTTGGTAGCAATAGGCCTTATAGCAGCTGGTGAATTATTATTATGCTAAAACAGGAGCTTCAGGGGAGGGAAATTAAAGTATCTTGTGAAAAACACATTTGATAGCAAAACCTGGTCATTTGTTTTTGGGGTTTTTTTGGGTTTTGGGGCTTTTTTTATATTCACTGGCAGTCACAGTATTTGGAATTTCACTAGCATTTTTCCATTTTCAATTGCTCAAAAAGAAAACAATTTTTAGTGAAAGTTAATCTTCCCTTTAGAGAAATCAGTGAACTACCCACCCCTGCACTGTCTGTGCAAGCGCCCAGGGTAGGAGCTGATGGGACACCTCGAGTTCTTCCTGTGAGGAGTTCAGCTTCTCCCTGGCTCCAGTTCCAGATGCTCAGCTGTGCTCCAACTGGTGCACACCAGCCCTTCTTCTGTGGGTTTCAATAATAATCCTTGTAGGTATGAAAGGAATTAAGAATAATAGAGATCTTGAGCATTTGCCCTTTCTTTAGGTTTCTTGAAGTTGCTTCATTTCTCACCCCCCATCCCCGGTGTTATTTTCACCTGGCTTTTTAAAGCAGCACACCTACAAATGATCACCAATTAAAAAGTGAACAAATAACATCCAGGGTTAAGAATATCAAATAGAGTTAGGAGGTGTGTGTACTCAGGTCAGAGATTAAAGAAGTTGTTTCAGAAACAAGAAATTAACTGACATATCTCTGCAGATTATTTGGATAATTGCATTTGTATATTATTCACTTACTGGTATATATGTAAATACTCAATTATTTGTGTAGGTGGTCCCTACAGAGGAAGCATGCACAGTGGTTAGAGCACAGGATTAGAGAACAGGACTTCTGAGGGCTCGTTCGTGCTCTGCCACTGACTCACCTGTGACCTTGGGCAAGTCACTTTGCCTTTCTAATGCCTCAGTTTCCCCAACTGTAAAATAGGGATAATAATACTTACCTACCTCGCAGGGGGGGTTAGTTCATTATTTATAAGCACTTTCAGATCTTCAAATTAAAGGCGCTATATACAGTAAGTAGTCAATATTCGTAGCAGTAGTATGTACTTTTATTTTCTTACAACTAATTCAGGTTAGGATGTAACTGTATGTCTGTTATGATAGTTTTCCATGTAGAAAACTAGCCTGGTTTCCCACAAAGGGAATTTAGGGGACTTCTGCAGCAGACAGAGAGCAGGAGCAGCATACCCTGGAAGCCTAAACTCCTACACCCTTGCTTTTGTGATTTATGTCTCACCCTTAATGTCACCTTACTGTACTTGCATTTCATCCTTTTTCTGATGGTACATGTAACAATTTTTAGCAGAAACGGCCACTGTAAATATTAGGAGTATTTAAATAAATATATTCATGTATAAATATAAAACCTTACCTTTTAAAGAGGTTAAAATTGGTTGATGCAACAGACTTTTAAGGACAGGGAGGTTCCACAAGCAGCCCAGCATCAACGCACACGCCAGGATCCTGGAGCAGGGCTATAGGAAAATGTCACCACATGTCATCACCTCCTTCATATTCACTTTTCACCCCATCCCTGGCAGGGACAGCAAGTCAGACAGGTGACAGGGTGTTGCAAGAGGGTGCACAACACGCTGGGGCAGAGGGAAGCCAGGTTTCTTTGTCCCCAGGAGCAGGGTAAGGCAGAAGCCTCAGGCAGCGTGTCGCCAGCACAATGGCTGCTGGAGGAATCTCTGCTGGGACAGCAGGAGACTCCCTCCTGCATTCCTTTGGGGGGCTCTTCGCCCCGATTTCTCTGTAGGTACAATTTGGTTTTCTTTAGTGCTTACTCAGGAGAAAGATCTTTGGTTTGAGTGACAGGAGCTCTAAGATTGGACTTGCACGGGCAGGGCGCTACAAGCATTCTGAGTTCCCTTCCAGGAG